GATAATATTGAGAGGAAATGTTAATATTAGGAGTGACATTGTGCCTTGTGTAAAATACTTCCCAATTAAACTGTTGCGAAGGTTAAGAGATACGAATAGTTCACATCGTTGAAGTGAAGGATAACTTTATTGCAATGAACACACAATTCTGTTCTAATTCAACAAAATCAAAACACATGAGGAGGTTTTGCAGTCCAGGAAGCTGATTGAAACAAAGTTACAACTGAGGAAGCAAATTGAAACAAATCTCATCAGATTGCCATGAATGGAATAGACTTGCAATTCATTTGTTGTTTGATACTAATGCTTTGAAGCGCTTCTCACGTCAGGCTTTCAGGATAAGCCTTAAAGTGTACGCTTGTAGTGCCATTTTTTAGGCCTCCACATCAAATCCTGAGAGTTATGCTTTACAGGCATTAAGGTGTGCACTCATTTATCTTGCCTTTTATGAACTTATTATTATATCAACTTTTTGGTTATTTGTTTACATGCTACAATATTTTGCTTTTTTTTTTTTTTTTCTGTGATTGGAAAAAGGATGTGGATGATGGTTAGATGTTGACACTTGTCCTATTTGAACAGTGGTAAAAGTTAGTCTCCTTCTTTATATGTGTAGAAGATGTAGACTCAAACACAGCAAATTCAGTCAAATACAAAAGCTATCTATCTATAGTATCAAGAAACATTAACTTATCATCAACAAGGATGATAAATTCTATTTATCTCCCGCATCACTTCTAGTTGGATGAGTATTAATATTGGACTTACCATTTAATGTTGTCTCATATGGGGATTCATCCACAATTTGTACACACAGCATTATTTTTCCATAAAATGGGGACAACTCATTCTAATTTAGAAAGACTTATCAACTTTTCCAAAAAAAAAATGTAGTATTTTTTCTTTTATTTTATTCTTCATATACATTGTATGGTTGAAGATATAATGTAAGGTGCAAGACCATGGATCTAGAAGTCAATTGCTCTACATACGTGCAGACCATATAAAACAAAAGTTAAGAACTAATCTGTTCCCCATTAAAGTCTGGTGCTAATAGATATAAGAAGACAAGTGCCACAGGTTTATAAGTTGCAGCAATGAATGGGTTCTAAAACTAAGTCATTCTTTCATCCCTTTTTTTCTTGTGGAGGTTGGGCGGGGGGGTTTACAAGCTTTGTTCCTTGTAACACCACAAACCAGATGAAGGCTACAAGTATTGTAGATTCTACATTTATATGGAATAAGGCTTCTTTTGTTGGAGTCCAAAAATAAGTTTAAGAAAAACTCTTGTTCAAAAGGTTAAGAAAGAGGATGATAAGAGAAAGGGAAAAAAGCCACTCCTTTGAATACTTATTTGAAGTTAGGAATCAAAGCAGATATTATCTTACACTTATAACACCATTTGGCTAAGAGCACATTCACATCGTCATAAAGACCATATTTATTGCACAGTAGACAATCCAAGATATAAATAAGAAAAAATGATGTACTTTAGATGTCTATAAAAATTCAAATAAAAGGCACTCATTAAAATAAAGCTGGGAAACAATCACGATATACAAAGAAAAATTCTTACATTGCTATGGCTTGACCTTGTGGATCCATCAATAACAAGCAGCCTCTTCCAGGAAAATTTCAGAGACGAAGCAAGATTCTCAATTTTGACCATAAGCTCTCCATTTGGGAGCTATTTGTAAAAAACTAATGAATAAATAAAAGAGCAATCCAAAAAGGTATCAAGATGATGATGTTAGCCACAAATAATACACAACTTTTCCACTTATTGGCTAGTTAAGATAGAATGCCAATTTTTTCCAAGTTAAAAATAATTAGCTAATCCAACATACCGGCGTGAATTTGTTGCAATTGGAGCAATCAAAATTAGGTGAACTCTGATTATGACAAGAGACAGAACAAGCATAAAAGCCTACAGATATATGGCTAAGTAGTCTTATGCTATTGGCTATGATAGAGATCATAATTTACCTTCAGATAATGAAGCACAATATGTGATTTAAAAATTATATTGCCTCTCTATAGCACAAGAAGAAGTTCTAGTCATCTTATTTTTTAACCTGATGAGTGCTCGTGAAAACATCCAGCTTCTGAAATGCTTTAGAGCCTTTTACAACTGAACTACTAAGCAGTGACCAAAAAAA